TTGTCTATCGTATTTAATGAAACATGTATAGAAAAGGGATTGCTGTCTAAATTCACAATATATATATATATATATATATATATATATATATATATATATATATATATATATTTAAAAGATCCATATAAATATTCAACAGAAAACGGTAATAGTTTATTCAATGGTTTATTGAATAAACACAATATTCGAGGACGTCATCGATGTAACCTATAAAAGCGATTGCATTCACAGAGTGGGTCTCGTTCATGTTGGTCTTCACTATTTCCCTTAGGGTGTCATATATGACATGATCATCAAAATTTTCGACCAGCCATTCTTGGAGCAAGTGGTCCATTTGGTAAAGCTTGACCTCTTTCTGGAAAACGTATGGCCTCCTCAAATTAATGCTTAACCACCTTGTTCGGGACCTCGATATAGTTGGTCGGATTGATCATGGGGTCTTGAAGAAAGTAGTGAAGCGAAGAACTAGATGATCCAGGGCTCCCTCGGGGTAGCTTCATCTTGTTCTTTCCGGGTCTTGACGGACGTGAACTGCCCTTTAATTATCATTTGAAAATTGCGCCTGATGTACATCACACGTCTGATAGGGGACATTAGCTATTCGGTGATGTTCCTCATAAGGGTATACCTGAGATACGCCTCTCCAGGCAGATTCTGCGAATACCATGGACACATCACCTGGGCAACGAAGAAGTTTTAAAGAAAATGGGAGCAAGAAAAATGCTCATATTTAAAATCAAAAAGAGACAGTTGAAATTTCTGGTTCATATGTGGAAAGAAGGCTTCGAAAAATTAATGCTCACCGGGCGTATTGAGGGACGTGGGTAGAGGGAAACAGGTAGCAATATACCTAATGAGTTTGTGTAAATAGATAACAGGTCGGGGACAAGGAAGTGTGGTAAAGAATCAAATGTTGCTTCTTGCTACAAGGACGAGATAGTTGTAGAGAGACACGATCGCCAACGTCCTGAAGGGACACAATGACATCCTTTACATCATTTGCTTCTTCAATCTTTCATCTCTGCCCTCCACACCTCTTTGTAATTTTATAGTAACTCCTTCCTATAGTAATTTTTCTCCTGATTCATTCATTTTTTTTATTTTCTATCTTCCCTTCTTATGAGTTTTACTACCTTTCTCTCTCACACCTTCCTTCCCCCTCTCTCTTTCTCTTCATTTTTCCTTCCTCATAAGTTTCACACACTCCTTCAATTTATCTCTCCTGTTCATCTTCAGTCTTTTTTCTTCTATATTCTCTCCTCTAATCTATTCTCTACAAGCCTCTCCCCGCCTCACTCTCTCTATCTGTCTGGCTATCCTTATTAACCACACTTTTTTCTCTTCCTCTTTCCGCGTTCATTTTACTGTTCTATCTCTCATTCTCTTACTTCTCTCTTTATTTATCTCTCTTCTTCTCTTATTAATATCCAATCTTTCACTCTCTCTTCCAGATTCCTCCGTCTATTTTCCCTTTCATTTCTTTTTTTCTCTCACTAATATCACCTTCTACATAGACTTCTTCTTTCTCTTTCAAACATTACCCCTACTTCCTCGCTGCCAATTTCACGCTGGTTAAGCGCCTCAGCGTCTTCCAATTTCATGCCATCTCCGTTGAACTATTGAATTAAACAAATGTGTGTGTGTCAGAATATGCGCATAGCACGGTTTCATATCGCTTGATGCCTGAAGAACCATCATGGACAAGGACGACAGCATTCAATCCTATCACGCAGCCCTCAGTCTTACACCTCCCCAACTGTGTAGGTGCTATAAGCCGATAGGGCTGGCCATGACAATGCATATACATGAATAAACATGAGGCCGGTGTTGTGGTGCATCTCTTAATTAGACTGGTTCTTTAACTAAGCATGTTCATTTAAATATGATGAGCCCAGTCCAACACTTGAAACGTGTATCTAAACCTTTCATATATTCGAGATCGACACGTGTGGAAGTCAGGGGTTGATTACTGGAGTTGTTGAGTGCTTCCCATCAGCGCCAGTGTAGCTCTAAGAACCAGAATTACTAAGACTGATTTTAAACACAATCTTCTGTCACATTCTCGTTTTATCCTAAACTTAACCAAAATTTAAAATAGCTTGAGTTTGGGGTTTTCCTAACAAAAAAGTTGATACTTGGATATGATAAAAATAAAATAGAAACACTTAATCCAAAATCATATGCAGGGAACACGGTGTTGATAGCAGACACAGAAAGAAAAACTACAGGAACCCCTAGAGAAGATAGTAAAAGAAAGCGCGAAGAAAGAACTAACTATCAATTGTAAGAAGACAAAATATATCGTTTTCAGCGAGGGAAACAGTCAAAGTTACATACCAACTTAAATATCTATGAAGTGTTTTAACAGATGACGAAAAATGTGACACCAAAATCCGAAGACGCATTAGGATAGCGAAAGATGCCTTCCAAAAACTAAGCAAAGTACTAAGAAACAGAAAAATTTCGTTATAACTGAAGAAAAGAGTACTGAACTGTTATGTAAAATCACTCATCCTATATATGGCAGTGAATATTACCCAATCTCCCTACAAAAGAAGAATAGACCAGAGGTAACAAAAATGTGATTCTACAGGAGGATGCTGAGAATACCATGAACTAAACATATGAGATAAAGGAAGTTTTAAAGAAAATGAAAACAAAAAGCACAGTTATACTTAACAGAAAGATAGATTGAATGATTTCTTTTTTACGGCTTATCAACCCTTTGTGAGTTATTTTTTTAACTCGGTATTACCCCATAAAAGCCAATAAAGCAATTAAGACACAAGGGGTTAAAGGGTGTAGCAGAATTAGGAACAGAAACATTAATAATGCGTAGGAAAAGGAAAGAGTAATCAGGACAGTAGATAGTGATTGATGTTGCATTTAAATTTTTGCAGATTAAGGTTGGCTGGAAAGTATGGAGCCGGAAGATAGTTCCACAAGCGAGAAGTGCAAGAAAAGAAACTGTTAGCATAGAATTTACGGTTACATCTAGTCAGCTCAACTGTAAATTGATGAGATCCCAACGTCAGTCTAGTATTGCATTTCAATTCAAAAATTCTAAGTACAAAGTCTGTAGAAAAAAAGACAGAGGGGGTTTAACTTGCGGCTGTGGGAAAGTGACTAAAGCCAAGTCGCGTTAAATAAAAAGAAGAGTCAGCAATATTATTGGTCCTGATCGACCAATAATATTGCTGACTCTTCTTTTTATTTAACGCCGAAAGATATTTTGGATTGTAAGAATAATTCTTTTCTTTTTTTTATATTGAATATAGCATTCACAATCATTTGGGTATAATAACGATATTTCCCAGATACTTGCTGTACTATTTAATTTACAGCTGATGGGGGAAGGATACATAACTACCCCAAGAGTATTCGGGCGTAAGTGAACCCGACTAGAATACGATCCTTGTTCATCGATCCGCTTAGAATCAGAGAGAGAGAGTTAAAATTTCCAAGCTATATAATGAAGAAAGAAGACTTTGAAAATTTGACACTCACGGGGTGTACTGAAGTCAATGGGGACAGAGTGAAATAACGAGTTACCTACTTAAGAAGCTGGTGTACATGGATGGCAGAATAGGGACTGGGTGTGATGATGAAAGAGCTACAAAGGATATGAAGTTGTGGAGAGCCATGATCTTCCACTTTCTGAAGGGATACGGTACTTGGAAGAAGAACAAGAACAAGAAGAACAAGAACAAGAAGAACAAGAACAAGAAGAATTAAAATGTACGCTATTTGAACTCGAACGATATTTATATGATTTTGCTAATTTATATTTTATCCCTATGTAGTCTTTTGATTTTGGGATAGAAACATTTGACCCATCGATAAAAGAAGCTTCTATATAATCGCTTGCGGCCATATCAAGTTGAAACAGCAATTCTCGTCTAATCATCGAAGTTAAGCAACTAGATGAGTGACCGCTCGGGAATATCAGGTGTTGCACGCTTAGATGTGTGGGTGGTAAATAGATAAAGGTTCGAAAAAAGGGATCTGAGAGCCGAGTTCGAATTCTTACGTGCAAATAACCTTAGGAAAGGAATGAATCCACCTCTTCTCCTCCTAGCTATATGCTAAATAGTAAGATTTGTATCAGAAAAATCGTTATTATCTCAAAAATGGCTTGCAATCCAAAAATAGGTTTCGGCTTTAAATAACCCCAAAAAGTTGATAAACCGTAAAAAAACAAATCAATCAAAGATGTTTTCCACACATTCAGGAAGCAAAAGATATAAGCACGATTTCCAACAAAAAAAAAACGCCATTTAATTTTAGTTTTTTTTTTTTGTTCTTGTAAAATATGGGATATTAAGAAATTAATATTCCCACTTTTTTATATCTCTCTCTATTTAATGTTGTAGACCGGTGTTGAAAAATAGCACTTCTAGCGTGGAATGTGCAGACAGTGTAGAGGTTATTACCACGAAAATTTGGAATTGTCGCGCCGTGTTGAAATTCCAACGTTCACTTTTGTGTAAAAAAAAAAAAGAATTAATCATTTCTCCACCCTTATCTAGCAATGGATTAAATAGTAGGGTAGAGTAGGATTTCTAGCCTCCTGCGGTAATCTGCCTAAGAGAAGGAAGACTCTGAACATAAAACCGCGAAGAATGCAGCAGGAAATCACTCCTACGTTCAGAAGGGAAATGGTATTTAAATAGAACCGGGATAGTTTTATTGTACTATGATAAAAAAAAATCATTCGAATCTTCTAATTGTAGAATTGATTGGTTTGCTTTTTACGGCTTATCAACCTTTCTGCAGGTTATTTAAAGCCAACAAATATTTTCAGATTGCAAGAATTTTTTTGAAGATAATAATAATTTACTGAAACAAGTGCTACTATTTAACCCATAGTTGGGGAAGAGGAGGTGGATTCGTACTTTTCCCAATGGTATTTACGCATGATTATAACAAACCCGACTGGAATTGGAAGAACCGACTTCTTATTCGGAGCCGTTTTCCATTACACCACCTGAACATACAAGCTTACAGCACATGGTATTCCTGAGCGGTCACCCATTCAAGTACTGACCAGGCTCAACGTTGCTTAACTTCGGTGGATCGTACGCGAATCGGTGTTTCAACGTGATATACCCGTAAGCCCTCAAATTGTAGAAAGAGAGATTCTGAATTCTGCCTCAGCCAAAACCTTTGAGGTGTTCATTTTTTTTATTTTTTTTTTTTTAATGTTTTCTAAGTTATCTATGGCAATTGTTAGCCACTATTGCTTATCGAATAAAATCTAAGCTTCAATTCAATACCTTTTTCTTCAATGGGGGTAGCTATTGTTATCTAAAGCTTGACAGATTCTTTCACCAATACACATCAGCAGTTGACCTAGAGAAGCGAAAGACAGAAGGTTTATTTGTAAAATGCGCTATTATCGAGATACAATAGCCTCTATTTTAAAACCATTTTTTTTCTTTTTTATCGATACTCACCAAGCCTAGTTTTCTATAAAGCCAGATTATGGTTAACAAAGGATACTAAAATTGACTCAACCAGCCAAATTATGAAAGTTGGCATGCCTATAAGATCTTCTTTCTTTTTATATGCCAGGTTCTTTCAGGAAGTAGGCGATCATGGCTCTCCACCTCCTTCTATCCCTTGCAGCTCTCAACAAGTTCCTTCCCTCTGCTTCCTCCCCCAGACCACGTTCTGTCATCCATTTGCTTAAGTCCGCCAGATATGTCACGTTCTGTTTACCTTGTCTCTCTTTCCCTCTATTCGACCCGTGAGTATCAGATTCTCCAGGCCCTCTTTCCTCATTATGTGTCCCAGAAACTTCAGCTGCCACTTCCTGATATTAAGTATAAGCCTCCTCCTTGTTTGCATCTTCTCTAAGACCTCATCGTTGCTCACACGCTCGGTCCATGATATCCTTAGCATCCTTCTGTAGAACGACATTTCCGTCGCTTTTTTCCAACATTCGCTGCCCTAAAGAAGGACAGATGTCACGTAACAGCTCAGTGTTCTTTTCTTCGTTGTTTTCCCTTGTCTCGCTTTCCCCTCTATTCGACCCGTGAGTATCAGATTCTCCAGGTTCTCTTTCCTCATTATGTGTCCCAGAAACTTCAGCTGCCTCTTCCTTATCTGAGCTCGAACGCTTTCTTCTGGCACTGGTGGGAGTTGAGTAAATATAGCAGCCTCTTGGCAGGCCACACACACACACACACACATACACAAAAAAAAAAACGATTATCGACGGATTATGTCACCGTTCGCAAATACGAAGAACACTGCAAATTGTATCGCAAATTGATAAGTTATCTTTTTTTTTTCCAAATAGCATCAAGGTAAATGAAATTAATTTGACGACATTCAGCGGACATTTGCTGACCGGGCTATTCGTTGCTATTAGAAATACGCTTGGCAATATAAATTTATTTAAATGCAAAAATGGGTAAGCGTAATTGTATGGTGATTACACGTGATTACGGTTGCCTCTGCATGTTTCCATGTATAACTCTGCGATGACTGATACTCGTACATGTGCGTTCTTCGCTATCAAACATTGTGTTAGTCTGTGTACGTGCGTTTCTATGAATAACAAGCATTTTCTCGTACGCTCAAATATAATAAAGACAATGATTAACATATGATCATTTCTCACTCGGTTTATCTCAACAGTTTATCGGGCAGCTCTGATGGCCTATAAACAAACATTAATAACTCTTCATCATGTTGTTGTTTTTTCTGTTGAGAAACCAGCCATATGATACCCAATTCCTTTTTACTATGACATTCTGCATATATTTATTAGGCTAAGTCAACTCTGGCACAAGGCCATATTTCTTGAGTATCAAAACACGTAATGAATTAGCAAGCAATGGCTGCTAGAATTAAGACAAGGAATTTAATTTTTACCTTTACAAATCTTAATACATATTAAGACTAGAAAGTGTTTTAGCACCTGAAATGTACCGCCGAAATCCCTAGGCGCGTTGGGATAGCTAAAGTCTTCTAAAAGCTAAGCAAAGTATAAAGAAAAAGGAAAAAATCGCTAGAAACAAAGAAAAGAGTACTGAATTGTTATGTAATATCTGTCCTGGGAGTGAATGCGGGACAATCTCCTCACAGCTGAAGAAAAGAATTATAGCTGTATATGTTGAACAAGTCCGATGAGAAGACACATCCTTGCCTTACGCCCCACACACTAAAGCAAAAACTGATGGGTAGGACAAACACTAAAGCGGCACTAGATAATTGATTCTGATTGGCTGATATGTATTAAATCAGGTCAATTACTTATTAAATACAAAACATTTCATTAATTATTTATGTGTATCCTTATTCTCGTCATTTCGATCTCTGCGCTTGGGTCAGTGCGCTCAACAGCCTTCTTCAAGTGTATTTAGCGTAAAAACTTTCTCAACAAAATTTAGCCTCTAACGCAATTACTAGGCTTGTGTAAAAGTTTCCAGCACTCTTCCTTAAAAACTGAAAGCAGGTATTCAGTAGAAATTTCTACATATACGAGCAATAAAGTTTTACTAGTTTTAATCCGTGAAAATTTTACGGTTTTCCTATTGGAAATTTCTTGTGAATATTAATTCTCCAGTTAATGATTGAATAAGCTCACGACACATTCTACGACAATAAAATATCCGCTGTTAAATATTTGAGCTTAACAACCTTAACAGAATATCGCAATAACAATCATAAATATGAATGCTAGTCATTATTTTAAGAAGTAAGAGGATACAAATGAAAAGATTTGAAATTTACAACTTTTTCCATTTCACTGAAACAGAACTTATACAATTCTATTTTTCTTTCTTTATTTCATTCATTTTCTCACTGAAACCATGTAACGTCTGTGATTCGCCTTTTGTCTTCTCGCACAGTCAATATGAAATAGTGCATTAAAAACTTCTTTCTTTCGTTTTTTCACTGAAACCAAGTGGCAACTCTGATGTGTCTTTCTCTTTCCATGTGATCAAAATTGAATAGTCCATTATTTATAAAGTATGAGCAGGAGACATTAAACACGTCTATCTTTCTTTCTTTCATTTTCTCACTGAAACCAAATAATGATTTTGATATATCTTTTTCTTCGTCTCGCGCGATCAAAACAAAATAGTCCATTATTTATGAGGTATTAGCAGGAGACGTTAAACATTTCTACATTTTTTCTCTCGCTAAAACCAACTCGTATTATTGATGTCTTTTGCCTTTTCCACGCGATCAAAACAGAACAGAATTACAGGTTTATGATAAATTTTCGACGCCTGAATTTAAATATGCTTGATTTATGGTAAAAAAAAAACTTTGTCTGAATTTGCTAGACGAGGTGTTTAAGTAAATGTTTCTGGTTTGTTTCGACTACTGTATTTTGTGGTATATAAGACCACTCACCCCCAGACACACACGCCGTCTTTCTTCAAAAACATTTCCTGACTCTTACGTTAATTTTTACTCAGATACCGTAGACTACCAGTACTTTCATTACGCATAAATGATGGAAAGGTACCGTATACATCAACGGTGATAGAACAGGAATACTTCATCCACCCATAAATTCTTGCGAGTACCAAGGACTGAACAGAAGAATTGTCTTCTTTACCTCAATCTGTGATAATGCTATTGTGTCATTATTCTAAAATCATTACTGCCATTAATTTTCAAAATAAATAACTTAATTTAAGAGTTGCTTTCTTTTTCAGAAAGATTAGCTTCTAAATATTTTTTTATTTAAGTTTAATTAGCAAAAAAAAACGTCTAAGGGTCTCAATCTCGGAAATAAGTACACACGAAAAGCAAAAAGAAAAAATATTTAAAATCAAAATCAAAATCTTCAAGTCAGATATCTAAAACAACATGTTCATTTTATGGACGGATCCAATAAAAATATAGAATCTGTTGTGGCGTGTTTAGGGGCCAGAAAGACACGGAAGACGAAGGTCGGTTGAAAAAAGTATATTGAAGATAGTGATTTTCCAAGCATATCTTAGATGTGGCACAAGGCCGAAATTAGGGGGCACCCAGTGAGAATCGGACTCACTACTCAGCCGTAATTGTTCTATCGAGACAAGCTGGACTAACCATTACACCACCTCGAGGTGCCCAAAGTATATTGAAGATATATACAAAACAATAGTGTTAGTAATAAGCAGATTAGCACTGCGTCTACTACTCCTCTTCGCTACCGTCCGACTCTGGCAGTTTGTATTTATGAGAGAAGGAAGAGTCCATTATACTGTAGGAGGGTCTACCACAACAGAATCCGAAATCTTTAAAACTTAATATCTGATTTACACCCCCACTACCACCACGACTTTCATCATTTTATTTATTGCCCCCGACTTTTTATATTGTGATACTATGCTTGGTATATGTCATGAAATGCAATAATTTCTCGGTTGTTTTTGCAACATTGTGTGTGTAAAATAGAGAAGAATAAGTTACGGTTAAGGATTAGAAAGAAAAAAAATATCTCTCAACCCCCACCAAAAAAACAGCCCTACAGGTTATTGCGAATATATAGTATTTCTGAATTACAATATATTTGATAAGGCGATCACAAGTTCTGAAAAAAAGAAAAAGAAAAAGGCAGAAGTATGTGACAGTGCTTTTTCATTGGTCTCTGAAATGAAGAATCAGCATTTAACGAGGAGAAATTTCCTGGTAAAAAAAAAAAAAATCTACCTTTAAAATTTTTCAGTGAGAATTTCCACCTCGATAGGAACGCGTAGATCTGCTACTGATTAGGAAGTCTCTCTTGGTCATTTCTCCGTCACCGACAAGTTATTGGCAAAATTTCCCTACTGGGAACAATAAAAGTAACCAATAGAGACTATATGCGTCTTGCTATTTACTACTGAAAAAATTCCTGGTGAAAAGACAGCTGATTTTATTTTCATTAACAGACAAAGATAGTTCGACTTTGGTGTATTGGTCTGAAAATAGTCATGGAAACTAACGTAGCGAGATAACCAACTCGGACCACTACGGAACAGCGATCATGGCCGCAAAATGCACACCGTTTCGAATCACTTAATCACATATGATGTTGTAACCATCTCACTTTTGTGTGTTTTTTTGTTGTTGATTTTATAACATTTCGACTATGTATCTTTGGTTTCTTCGAAATTAACAG